TTGAAATTCTGAGACTTCTATTGTTTTTCATACTGCAGTCAACTGTAGCCTTTTGGGAAGAATTTCAGTTTCAGATATTACCAGTGTGTGGGTATAGTCAATTTGTGGAAATCACTGACATTCTTCCCAGGCAAAATACCCTTCTGAATCTTGACGTCATACAGCAGCCCCAGCATGACTTCTCTAAGGCTGTACAAGGTCTTCAAGCACCAGATTATTTTAATAAACTCTTCTGACTAGATATATATTTATAAATTTTTCCCATTTTCATTTGAAACAGAGTTTATGTCAAGGACAAGATCTTCTCAGCAGTGAAATCACAGACATATGTTCTTTGTGATGAAAGACAAGCCGCTACTCTCTGGTTTTAGAACATTAGCTTACATGTTTCTATTCTGTGTTTAAACTGTACACACACATCAGTTTTTTTATGCTGTCTCCAAAACATATTACTTTTTTCCTACATTGATAGTTCATAATGTGGGAGTTGCCAATCTTTAAGAGTCACAGGCCTCACATTTACTTTTAAAATATTTTTGGGAAGGAACTGAAGACCATTGGAAATTAGTTGATAGTATATTGTCACTATAGTGAGTGAAGGCCAAAGTGGGAATACATTTTGTTGGAACTGGCTAAGTTTTAAAGAAGAATATGAGTGCCTTAAGCATGAGACACCCACTTTGACTCTTTTTATTTCTTCAAATCCTATGAAAAATGGATCTGATCTGATTAATCCTGCTTCTCCTAATCAGTTTCTTGGAAGAGTTCTGTTGTCATCTCTTATTCACTTTGACTCTCTTTCTACTCTCCCCACGCAGAGGTGGGATTCAGCAGGTTCTGACCAGTTCTGGAGAACCGGTAGCGGAAATTTTGAGTAGTTCGGAGAACCAGCAAATACCACCTCTGACTGGAGTTTTTACAGTATCCTTCCCCTGCCACACCCAACAAGCCACGCCCATAGAACTGGTAGTAAAAAAAAAATGAATATCACTACTGCCCCCATCCCAGAAAACTAAGCTTCCAAACAACTTTAAAACCTACCTACTATCTGCCATTCTGGTTTTCAGCACACTAGCATCTCATAACTGAAGTAGTGAAAAAAATTTTAAATAAAAAGCAGAAGAGACTGTGTGAAAAATTCGTACAAGGTACTTGTGTCATGTTGAGGACCATTTGTATTTCAATTTCACTGAAATAGACCCCCAAAATTGGAAGTCAATCTCATAAAAAGAAACAAATACTATACTAAAACTCCTAAAAATATGGGTTGTGGGCATTTTACATAAACCAATATGGAAAAAAATTAATGGTTAGATACAAAGCGGCAATACAATATAAAACGATGAAATTTATTATTTGCAATTATACGTTAACCAGGTTGGCAAATAACCATATAATGTAACTAATTCTAAAGTACATGTGAAATAAAAATTGCTTGAAAGATACTTCTAAGAAATGACATATCGGAGCACTGAAGTATTTCAATTAATTAAGTGAAAGAAAAATAACTTGAAATAGAAAATAATTCAAAAGATGGAACACAACAAGGATGATGCTGGATGGCTTCACAAAACCATCAGTTTCTGGGCATTAGAGCCACTAATAAATATTGTCCAGTAATCCACAATGTTTGGGGATAAATGTTACGGAGAACTTCTCTTAGCGATACAGTCTATAGCGATTATATCGCTTGTACAAGAATTTAATCCTCTTATTCAGATTATGGTAATCGTCAACAAACATTCGGTCACCCACCATCTTCTTTTTGCGAATGCATCTCTGCAGCTCATTTCCCCTCCATCCACGTAGCCATACTGGCCCCACAATCAGGTTTTTGGGGTGGGCCTTGAAATCCCCTAAGAAGAAGAACACAATAGATATATTTTAGAATTCTATTACTTCGATTTTGAAAAAGGAAGTTTCTTCAGTAATTCCCCCCCCTTTTTTAATCATAGAGTACTACCAACTTCAATTCAAAAGACATTCCCTTTCTAAATAAAGTAGCCATCTGAATGTTAAGCAAATAAAAATGTCTTTCTCTTCAATTTTCTTCTCAAAATCAATCACAGAACTTTTCTCAGATTAGGAACTTCCATGACAATTTCCTTCTTCCAAGATTGGGGGAAAGGGGAGAGAAAAACAGAAAGATCTATTAAATACCTGCCAGAATCACTAGAAAAGTTTGCAGGGAACTTGAGGGATGATAGACTGCATGTATCTCTCCTATACATGCTGCTATTGGAAGACAGGTTGCTGTTAGTGATAATCTACTGTAAAGTAATACTTACCCAGAATTCCAATATTATCATAGACACCAAAAAGTGCTCGTTTCTCATTCCATCGGTCAACCACTTTTGGAGGAGGAGGCTCTTTCACCAGAAATGAGCCAGGGACTTCTAATTTAAACAAAGGAGGAGGAAAAATAGTCAATGTCACTTTAACGTTTGCCTTTGAAAATCTTATTATTACAAATCAGTTGGAGCTTTTATACAGCATATTTACAAACCAATGTTTATGTAAAATATAAAGTTAAATCATTTCTTTTAAAACCTTCTAATGGTACAATATCACTGGACAGCTTTAGAAACTAAATTTATTGGTCCTTAAACCACTAGTTACTGTATTTACAAAGAATATCTAGTCAACCATCATAAATGTAGTACAGGTAGTCCTCAGTTTATGACGAGAATTGGGACAGAACTTCTGGCTCTAAGTGAGGCAGTTGTTAAGTGAGTCACACCCATTTTCATGATATTTTGATTCTAGTTATTAAGTGAATAACACTTTTAATTAAATCTGGCTTTCCCCATTGGAACTTGGCTGGAAAAGTTGCAAGTGGTAATCATGTGACTCTGGAAGACAACCACCATCATAAATACACACTGGTGGAGAAGTGTCTGAATTTTCACATGTGACCACGCTGCAACAATCCTAAGTGAAAGAACTAGTTGTAAAACACATTTTTGTCAGTGTAACTGTAAACGTGAATGGTTGAAGACTACCTGTACTTCAAGATTAGTTACAAAGAAGACTGCAACTAAACAACCTCTGGATCAAGTGGCCAAGCACAATACTGTACAAGCTTAACAGTTTATGAACCAAAGGCAGTCAGAACTCCTATATTAACTGAAGCTGGAAATAAGGACTGTTAGCCATATGGGTCACTTGAATTTCAGTGTCAATGATTATTTTAAGTGCAATCTTAACGTTCATTCGTGTGTGTGTGTGTGTGTGTGTGTGTGTGTGTGTGTGTGTGTGTGTGTCTGAAGGAATTCAATATTTAGAACAGACTGCAATACCTGTAATGTACGAAATCCCACCCAACCATCCTAAAAGCTCCCCTTCTACCTTGTCCCCTTCTCGTTGCCTCTGAAAAAGAAGGGGAAGGCGTTATAATTAATGCATGCTCGAGATAGTAAACCAGGGGTCCCCAAACTTGGCAACTTTGGACTTCAACTCCCAGCATAGCTGGCTGGAGAATTCTGGGAGTTGAAGTCCACAAGTCTTAAATTTGCCAAGTTTGGAGACCTCTGTAGTAGACAAAAAGAACCGGGGCCCGAGGTTTTTCGCGCCAATCGGAAGCGCCAAGGCAGGGTTCAGGTCGCTACGTCGCCCACACGACAGCCACCGGGTCCTTCCACCCACTTGTACTGAACAGCCGACGAACTGTAGAGACGAGAAGGCTGCTGCTGCCCGTCCATAAGCGCGGCGGGGTCGTCATCAGCCGCCACGCCGCTTCCATTGAACGTCGGCCTGACTCTTAGGCTAAGAGAGGGCAACGCAAAGGCTCCACGCAAGGAAGCCACTTCAGAAACTTCCCAGAACACCCCGCGCCTCGCAGCTTTCGATCCGCAGGCGGAGAGGAAGGAAGAAAGTCACGACCATAGAGATAAAAGCAATGGAAGTTAGACGTGTCGATCAGGACCTCAAGACAAGAATGGCTGCCTTGCATTTTTGTACACTGTTTTATTAAATATATCACTGTAGCAGATTCTTTTTTTATTCATTCCCCTCTTTTCCTTCTCCCCCAACAGCGGTTAGTTTCTCAGGGTTTTGCTCCACGGATAGGTGATTTTTAAACTTGGGAACTTTAAACAGAGAGACTCTGCTCTTCATGGCTGGCTAGGGAATTCTGGGAGTTGAAATGTACGCATCTTGAAGTTCCCAAATTTTAAAAATACTGAACTAAATCTTCCATGTGAAACAAGATTCTTCATTGTTCTAATTAAAGTGATTAGCCGGTTCAAGCTGGAATAATTTATTATTTCATCCAAGGCAGACATTGAGCACTGCCTGCAGAGATCCATGGAGAAAAATAAGGAGCTAAGTGTAATTATGTTCGTTCACTTAGAAGGAAAAGTTTATCTACCATGGAAGTTACCATGGTAAAGTTTACTTTTAAAATGTATATAGATGTTTCACCCATTCAAATGCAACTGACCATTTCATGCACTGAGAATACAACTACTTGCCATTTGGAAATTCCATTCCCAGCAATTGCAGAGTTGTACTGTACTAGTTGAAGTAATTGACAAGCTTATCTCGAACTACTGTGACTTCCAGCGTCATCACTTACCTTAAGAAATAAATAACATTGTATCTATTGAGAGCATTTAAAATAATTTCGGTAGCGGTTTTGTCAGGTTACAAAGCAAATGAAGCACTTAAGCACTTTATTTCAGACAGTATCTTGATATTGTTTTTTAAGATGGGAGCTTTCACTTTGTACCCAAAGAAATAAAAATAAAAATACAATGTACTGTAAAAAAATTCTGTCTTCAGTACAAATGTAACTCTACACTTTTTCATAGCTCTTCGCCTTCTGAAGCGCGCCTGTCCTTGCGGGACTTGATTGCGGACCATGAGAGAACGATTTAAAGCGATTGGCTGCCGAGCTTTCAAAGAACAACCTGGTTGGGCGAGCGGACATTATTCGAATTTCTGGCGCGTCATTTTTCCTGCCCCTATTGGTCTGCAAGTGCGCGCGAGTGGTGCAGGCCAAGTTTGAGTTCCACCTTCCCCCCTCGGTTCTGCCGCCGAACCGACCCCACCAGAGGTTGGGCCCGCCGGTCCTGCGTTCCAAAATCTAAGATGCTCTGAATTCTACCCGGCGCCGAGCTTCGGAGTGCGGGCGTTTGGGGCTCGATCTGCCTCCCATCAGGCTGCGGATCGGGAGGGGGATGATGGCTGATCCGACTTCGCTTTCGCCTCCCTCGTGGGAGTTCCACTTGCCTCTGTCTCCGGCCGACTTGCTTCGCAGCGCGGGGTCTCTGCAGTACGTGGTGCAGGAAGTGCTGCCCCTCAGACAGCTCCCGGGACAGCTGGCAGGTTGGTGGGAGAAGCGGGAAGCGGGAATGGTCCCCTGGAGATTCCTCGTGTAGGTGTGCAAGTCCGGGAAATCGGAAGGACGAAGACGAGTAATTAATGTGAGTCGTGCCTTCCCATCAAAGCAGCGCCCGAGGCAGCCCCGATTAAATAGTGAATTCTAGGCGGTGCTATCGGGTATCCCAAAGTAATCGGGGAGGATGTATAATTATTTCAGACATCCAATACCAGCTATTTAGATGGTGGTGCAGTTAATGGTTATATCAGGGGTCTTCAAATTTGACAGCTTTTAGACTTGTGGACTTCAATTCCCAGAATTCTTCCTCCAGTCATGTTAGCTCAGGAATTCTGGGAGTTGAAGTCCACAAGTCTTAAACTTGCCAAGTTTGAAGACCCTTGGGTTACATAATAAATAGCACACTTTTAGGATGTTTTTTTAACCTTTTTTGAAATTATGTAACAGCATTTTATTGCTCTGGTTATGTAGTGCATTTGTAATCTGCTTCAGAATATATGGGAACTAAGCATAACAAAACAGATCCACAAGATATACTTTCCAGAAAATTGAAAAGACCATAATCTCGTCAAGCTCCTCAAAGATATAAGCTAAGGTTTAATAATTGTCAAAAGCATGCAAATCATATGATGAAGCAGGTTTTTTTGAGTTGTTATGGTTTATTTTTCTTTTAATGTAACTGCATACACTGCAGCAGTGTATAAACTGATTAAGGAGCAGTTCTAGAAAATTTTTCTAAGAGAATTAGGCATACAAGATCTGGATTAATAAAATCATAGTTCACTAATTGCAATTTGATGTCTAAATTCAAGAATTCTGAGTACCAAAAGTTTATCTGAAAATAGTTTCAAAGCTATCTTCTGCTACTTGATCTGGAGTTGGCATTTCTCACACATGGTCTTTCTTTTTGCAGTATTTCAGACAACATTCTGTACACAAGGAGCACTTGCTATCCTGCAGCATTTTGATACCCTTTTCAGTATTCTACAGTGAGTCTGCACGTTATTACTGGTATTGTTAGAGGGAGCTTTAATCTGAGGATTGAGAGTACATCATAAGAAGCCTTGTTCATAACTGTGGTAATAGCACTAAAAGAAGTAAACATGTAAAAAACCAGAAAATGACTGAAGAATTCTTTGTGTCTTAATTAGTCATTTTGCTAAAGAAGCCATTTAATTTCCTGTACCCACATTGTTAAATGACAGAGAGAAGGGGTTGAGACTGAAAATAATTTTGTTTGATGTAAACAATTTGTAGCTGAGCTTTGGACATTGTATAATAGGAAATTTCTTAAATGTTCCCAGAAGTTCTATTTCCAAAATTAATACAAGCTGAATGTACAATGATAACTTTAGATGAAGAGGAATACATGGGATGCTTTGAAAAAAATGTTTGTGTTTTAACTTAATATTCATGCTTTGCAGCTACTTCAGGACTGTAGATAAGGCTGTTAAGGAAGATGCCCTAGAACTGATGATGAAAGGTGAATACGTTCTCTTAATACTATAGAAAATACAAGTTCTTTATTGCAGCTAAATGATGATAACAAGGCAAATGTGACCTCATTGGCAGGTTGTTCCCTCAGCCTGTTCCTTTCATAATGGTCTGTAATCTTGGTGGTCAATGCAGAGTAATGTGTGTTCACTGTAAGGGCAGACCAACAGGACATCCCATTCCTTCTGTCTTCCATCTTTTTGGAATGAGAGATTCATCATTTGCATAGTATTGCAAGAGGTGGTCAGAGGGGTGGATACAGGATAAGCATAGTGTGCCTGGGTAATGGGTTGCTGGGTGCTCCAGAGTTATGCTGATAGGATACTATGAGCACAAGTCTTTGGTAATCTGAAAGCTGTCCTGAAATCACATTTAGAACAAATATCTATTGAGAGCCTGTCTGAAGATGGTACCTTCTCACTTCTCCTTTTAGTTGTGACTAGTCAATCCAATGCCCTGACAACCATCCTGAATGATTCAGACCTCAGATCTTCTCTTCGGGTTCTCCATCTTAATGCTCTAAAGATGAATTGTTATATACTAGTACGGCTAGTGGAGGCATTTGAAACGGAATCTGGCAAGACCAATCTAGTGGGATTGGAATCCAAGGGGAAGGTAGGTGGCTGGTATCTATTTGCTAGATATGTACTTCTGGGCAGCTTTTTCCTCTTTAACCTGTTGCCCTGAAATCTGATTAATTTTAGTCTTTTCTTGAGTTAGTGGATATGCCAGTTAGAGGATATGTTATGTACCATATTGAAATTTATGTGATCTTTTAAAATATAATTTTGTATTCATAGAGTAAAAGATACTCAGAAGCTTCTTTTTTTTCTTTCTGCACTCTCTTAGCTCTTTATTAGTTTGTGTTAGTTTTTATGTTCTTAGTAAATCTAATAAATATTTTGAAAACCTATATTACATTGTGGGAGTGGAGGTGTGATATATTCCATTCTTATTTTGCTATCCCAAATATTGCCAGCTCGTCTCAGACCTTTGAATAGGCTGTGCCTTACAGGAAGAATCTACAGGCAATCAGTTGAGAATATGTAAATATTTAACATAAGCAGATCTGGACACATCCAGAGCTGAAATCAACAGAGGCAACTAATGTAATTTCTGAACATGACCTTCACGTAGATAAGCTTTTGATGCATGTCTTCTCTTGAATTGATGTTCTGGATTTGTTTTGCAGAACAAGAAAAGCCATACTAAAGGCTTTGCTTGGGAGGAAGAAAGGCAGTCAATTATACAACTGCTCACACAATTACTTCAGTTGGATCTTCATCAGCTTTGGAATGGCTTGGTAGTGGAAGAAGAGTTTGTAAGGTATAGAAATGGAACGGAAAGCTGTTTTTAGACAAAGCTTCATTGGGCTGGAGAAAAGTGAAGGGTCAATCAGATAGGAAGAGAGGAAAATGATATGATTCATGTGAGCCGGAAAGAAAACATTATTTTTTTTTAAGTGCTAAGTACATCTTCATAGGATTGTAAAAGATAAAGGAGTCCTTGCTCCGCTAGTCGTAGCCAATTTTAGGGAGCAGTGCTCATCTCCGTTTCTAGGCCATTGAGCCAGCACTGTCCAAAGACATACTTGTTTATCTACTTGCATTTACATGCTTTCAAACTGTTAGGTTGGCGGGAGCTCACTCCATCATGCAATAATAGGACTCAAACCGCTGGAGCATAGACCTTCCCTGGAGTCTTTTGAGCCACTGCGCCACTGTGATAAGATTGTAGTACATAAAATATTGCATTGCGATACCCTTTTGCTCTAACTCCTGTTTTGACTTTCTTTTCAGTTTGCTAACTGGCTGTTGCTACCGTATCCTGGAAAATCCCACCATTAGCCACCAGAAGCATCGGCCCACAAGAGACACAGTGATTCACCTACTAGGTGTTGCTCTATCTCGATATGACCATATGCTCAGTAAGTCTATTCTATTCTTTTAGCTTGGGCAGGCCAAATACTGAAATAGGTCTAATTTCTGAGCCCTAAATGGCTAATCTGAGCCATCCCTAATTTCTCCCGTTACTGAAGAAGGTCTTCTCTTACCACAGTTCTCTTTGACAGGTGCCACTCTGAAAGTCTCCCAGATGCTTCAGCACTTTGAACATGTAGCTTCAGTATTTGTGGAGGCTGTAACCGTGTGGATCAAGGACTATGGTATGAAGAGTATTGTGGGGGAGATACTAAGGTGAGAGAGGTTCCTTCTGTCTTCCTTACAATTCTCAGCAGCATCGATCACTGACTGTTAATTCATTGTTCAGGGAAATTGGACAGAAATGCCCCCAAGAACTGGCTCGAGAGGCTTCTGGGGTGAAGAGCTATGCTGCCTTCTTGACAGAACTCACTGAACGAACACCAGCTATTGTTCTGTCCAACATGAGTGTCCTGTTGCATCACCTGGATGGAGAGGTTGTTTCACAGACTGTATTTTCCATATAGAAAGTATATGAGAATGAAATAAATAACATTCTATTTTTATTGGCTGAAGATCTTGAAAAAAGCTTAATGGCTAGCCCAGGTGTCATTCTGAACCATGTTCTAATTCTGCAGAGTTATGGAATGCGTAATGACTGAGCCGGGTGCTTTCCTTTTAAAAAAAAACCCACTTGTTTCTTAACTCAAGCTTTTACAACTGATTTTGTCTTTGAGTTCTCTTGTATCTTCAGAACCATCACTTGTCCTCTCTTCCAAGTTGAATAAACACTCGGGTTTCTGCTTTTTCCCTTGTAATCCTGCTTGGCTTCTCAGGTGGATACTTCTACCTTATAACTTGTGAGAAAAAGCCTGAAAGTTTCAATGATATATTTGATTGCAAATCTCTTGCTTGCAATGTCGAACTCTATAACCTGTTTTTGAGTAAACATAACTTAAATCAAGATACACGTCTATTGAAGTGATGCTGCATGTAGAACAACAGTGGCATTAAAGTCTGCCAGGCCCAGAAGCAATTATTGCAAGTATATATTTGGCTCGCCAAAAGCTCAGCATCAGTAAATTTTTACTTTTCATTGCCTTTTCTCTGTAGCACTTGGCAATTCATTATCAGTAAGTCCAGTCTAGCAGAGAGCTACTGTTGTGTAAAGAGCTTTTGGCCTGAAATTCTTACATAGATGAATCAATTAAGTCTGTTCCAAATTTAAAGCTTCTTTGGGATTTTGGCTTTCTGAGCATATCGTCTAGTTTGCAAGTTTTGGAAATGGCCAGCCCAGTTGTCATTCTGAACCATGTTCTAATTTTGCAGAGTTATGGAATGCGTAATGCCATTTTGGCTGCTATGGCAGAGATGCTGTTGCAAGTGCTGAATGGAGAACAACTGGAGGAAGCTGCCATAAATACAAGGGATCAGTTCTTGGATACTTTGCAGGCGCACACGTGTGATATCAGTAGCTTTGTGCGCAGTCGTGTGCTTCAGCTCTTTACCCGAATTGTGCAACAGAAAGTGAGTTTTGAAGAAAATATCAGGAGCAAATAACCACAGACCCACACTTGTAGAGTTCAAACTAGCTACTTTATTGTTCTCTTTGTATAGTTGTAAGAATCTCCTCAGACTGGTAGCTTTCCCCTGGGAAAGACCAGATAAAGCTATATGACATTCAAAGGTAGGGGGTGGAGCCGGGGAGTGTCAGACCTTGCCTCTTCTATTTACATAGGGAGGCAAGGCTAATTCCTCACTTAAGGGGAGGGGGGGTATTTTTTCTATACTTTTTTTACTGCTTGTGAACCGCCTAGAGTCACTGAGAGCGACTAGAGGCTATATAAATTTTCTAAATAAATTATCAATAAATAAGCCCTCCTCCCATTTGGGATAATTGTTTGCCAACAAATACTTTGTGAACTTAATTAGGGTAACTAAGATGCTACGAATGACTTACAAATGCAACTGTTTGCCCCCCAAAATACATCATCAGCCTAAAATATAAAGTATACAATGCAGTATCTGAAGAATAAGAATTAACATTTAAGAACTAGTTAAAATAATAAAATTTGTAGTGGTGAAAACAACAAGAACTACATATGTTCCTGCTTTGATTATTGCAATGTGCTCTACATGGGGCTACCATTGAAGAATATTTGGAAGCTACAGTTGGTCCAGCAGTGTTGGCACATGTAACATCACTGTTATACAAGTAAGGTGTACTTTTCAGCCTTCAGCGAGTGTAATCCTGGGATGGAGACCTTTTCATGTTTATGCAAAAGCTCTAGTGGAACAGTTGAGACTTACTTCTGAGTAAGCACACCCATTTTCTGGCATCAAGGGGCCTGTTGCAGAATTATTTTTGGAAGTTCCAGCTCCCAGGGAGGACAGCACTGGTTTTGCTCCTCTTACCTGATGTCAGAAACATTCCAGAATATTATTACCTTTTTGTAAATTATAACAATGTGATAATGAAAAGCTTTTTGTAGCTTTCTTGGGACTGCTTCCCTTCCATTTTCTCATCCAGTATGTTCATACTTTGTGAGCAATTCATATAAGGATAACAGGGTAGTTTCAGGTGGGCACTTACTACTTGCTACCTAACGGTTATTATCTAGCAGTGAAAATATGTTAAAACTGTTCCTTCGATATTTTTCTCTAGCAAAGCCATTCACGCTGCTAGGGAAAATGAAAGTTTGCACTGTATATCTAAGTCTTCCATGTATCTCCAGATGGAAGAAAATATTTAGCACAGCCAATGTCTGAGCAGAGTTGAGAACTTGTTAGGAAGGAATACTGGTACTGCAGAAGAAATATGTCCTTACTATCATGATTGTGTCAGTGTATGAAATAGCTTCTCTTTCTGCTATAGGCTCTGCCCTTAACTAGATTCCAAGCAGTTGTGTGCCTTGCTGTGGATCGGCTACAGGACAAAGCAGTAACCGTGGTTAAGAATGCTATCCAATTGCTCTCTGCCTTCCTTTCCAACAATCCTTTCTCTTGTAAGGTAAGCTTTATAAATCTATTTCTTGGCAAATTTTTAACTGCAGTATTTTTCATTACTCCTCACCTATTCTGCAAATGGGTTTTTGCTCATCTCGTTTGCTTAAAAAAAAAAAGTATAGCCCAAAATATCCTGAATACAGAAAAGCAGAATGTAGCCTAGAACAAAAACAAAGCATCAGTAAAAGGGTCAGTGCCAGGCACAAGCAACCAGAACCACTTGTGAAAAGCCTCAGGCTGAAACTTTATTGTTTGTCATCTAGGTGATAAGAATCTCATCAGACTGCTTGCCTCCCCCCTGAGAATAACCAGATAAGGCTTCATAGATTCTGGGGGAAGGTCAGGCTTATGGCGGCGTGTAACAACTCCAAGCCCTTGCTTGACCTCTCCCTCCAGCCTAGCTGGCAATTCCCCCACAGTCATCATGCCATCAATCGAGACATTTTTTTCCACCATAATAGCAATAGCACTTAGACTTATATACCGCCTTATAGTGCTTTACAGCCCTCTCTAAGCGGTTTACAGAGTCAGCATATTGCGCCCAACAATCTGGGTCCTCATTTTACCCGCCTCAGAAGGATGGAAGGGCTGAGTCAACCTTGAGCCTGATGAGATTCGATCTGCCAAATTGCAGTAGTAGCAGCTTGCAGTACTGCACTCTAACCACGGTGCCACCAAGGCTTTAATAATACAGGTAGCCCAACTTTTTCTTTGCTAAGCAAGGTAATTAAGTGGGTCACACCTGAGATTTACGACCTTTTGCGTCACCGTTAAACAAATCACTGTGAACCGTGGTTGTTAAGCAAGTCTGGCTTTTCCCATTGGTTTTGCTTGTCAGAAGCCAATTGGGAAGGTTGCAAATGGTGACCGCACGCATAACTACCTGCCAGTTGCCAAGTGTCTGGGTTTTGGTCACATGACTATGGGGCTGCTACAACAGTTGTAAGTATGAGAACTGGGCATAAGTCGCTTTTTCAGTGCCATTGTAGCTTTGAACTGTCATTAAACAAATGGTTATAAGGATACCTGCACCTCTTTTTCCTCTCTCATGAATAAGGTCTTTCTCATTCTAAGCAGCTGATAAAAAAAAGGAGCTTGGCTCAGATTTGTGCCTTAATTTCCTCTTTGACTGCATTCAGTATAGCGGGCAGGATGAACTGCTCTGGAATGAGCAGCTACCATGTTTTCTTCCAAAATGGGTTTTTAAAAGTTGACTTTTCCTTGAATTTTCTACCAGTCATCCCATAACGTTAATATATTTGGTTATAAAAGAAATGAGCTCTCAAGAGAATATGAAAGTAGAAGTATTAATGAATATACCTCTCACATTTACAGTTGAACTGCACTGACTTAACTGAACTTCTTGAAAAGGAGAAGCAAAAACTCCAAGAAATGAAGACAGCCAGGACCCCAGCTGGTAACGTGCTTTCATCTGTGCCATAGCTTTAGGGAAGGTGGATAAGGATAGGCATTGGTTTAAAAGGGAGAGGAAGAAGAATTGTGAAGTTAAACTTAGATGTAACACGTTCACCTGCTTGGGGGGGGTGGGGTTGGTCTAGACCAGTGGTCGCCAACCAATGGGCCAGGGACCATTGGTGGTTTGTGAGAAAATTTTGGTGGTCTGCAGAGAAATGTCACCCCCAAAGCAATTAATCCAGGAACACAAGGCTGTGCCATCCTCAGGAACACAAGGCTTAGGTTGCATTGCGAACAACACGAAGTAGTAAGGGGAGGGGGGGAAGGGCAGAGGGGGGGAACTTGCCTCACGTGCCTAGCCTGGCTACCGGGCTGCTGCTTTCTGCTTCTTTCTTCTTTTGCATTTGGCTGCACACAAGGAAAGCAGCAAGTCTTTCTCTCCCCAAACTCTGCCAGAAATGAGTCTTTGGTACCCTGCAAGGCATTCTGCTCCAAGAGGCTGCGCCAGCAAAGACTCATTTCTGGTGGAGTTTGGGGGAGAGAAAGAAAGACTTCTGCTTCTCCTGCCTTCCTTGCATGAAGCCAAAAGTCTCTCTCTCCCCCTGAGAACGGAGCTGGAGATGATATCCTGTGATCCCAAATGAAGAATGATCGATTGGTAGGAAAACAGGGTGGGGAATTTTCCTGCAGACTTTTGGGGGGATTTTCCCAGGGTCTCTGGTCTGCGGGATTTAAAATTATGAGTTTGGTGGTCCTTGAGGTCTAAAAGGTTGGCGACCCCGGACTAGAAGACCTACAAGGTCCCTTCGAACTCTATTAATCTGTTAATAGGACTCATGATAGCTCAACCTCCTGTAGTTCTATCTCCAGGAGCTACTATATCTAAAAGGATGCCTCATAGCCATGCTTGGACCACCAGTCCTTATGCCTCACTATCCTATGTTCTTCCTCTTTGCTCTCTCAGGACTACTTAGCACCTGTATTTCATGGTAATCAGTTTGTCTCAGTGAACAGATAGCTTTAGGAACCAGATGTTTTAGCCTGGAAGCAGTTAAATAGGGATAGTTTGAATACCATGCTTCTTGATACTCCAGTATGCATTTGTAAGTACTAACAATCACAGTAGGAATGGGAAACTAGCTGATTCTTCCATTCACCTCACAGAGGCCGTGATTTCCCCTGAGGAAGAATGGGAAGCAATGCAACCAGAGCTCCAGGCAACTCTGAAGAATTGCCTAGATTCAGAGCAGTGGGAAGAAGAGGAACATGACCTTGAGACAAGGGACCCAGCACAGCTAATCAACGATATTGTCCAGCTGTTGAGGAAATCCAACTACAAGTGAGTAAACTCCTGGGAGATGGATGCGCTTCTGCTCTGAATGTAACACGGAGCGTTTGGAGCTTGTTCCAGCTAGCCCTCTTCTTGCCACCCCAACTGAGCCTGGAATTTGAGTTGTAAGTCATTGCGGTCATTATATGGGTCACCAAGTATCCTGAATTGATTTTTTTTAGTGTTTTTATGACAGTCATTAAGTGAGTCGCTGTAGTCATTAAGTGGACTGCATGGCCATTAAGCAAGTCCAGCATATCAAATGGGTTTTTTTTTCCCTATTTTCTGCTGGAAAACAGCAAAAATGAGTTGCAAATCATGATCACATGACCATGGAATACTGCAGTTGGTCATAAACGCAAGCCATAAGTGCCCAAAGGAGGCCTTAGCTGGCCATACCTTTGAGGACAGCTTATTGAGTGCATTGTAACTTTAAATAGTTGTTAAGCGACCAGTCATTAAGTAAGGGCTACCTGTATAGTTATTAACTGAATACTTTTGAGTTACACTACATTCTTTTTCTTTTTTTAATAAACTTTATTGAACTTTTACATTAAAAACATAAAAATATATCACTCAATAACAGCAATTTGTAGTGCTTATCTTATAACAATAATTTGTGCATTATTTACAGGTATTAATTTATGCATAATTACGTTCTTATTTTATCTGTTACTTATATTTAATAACTACCTATCTTTAATCTATCTCTGTTCTATCCAGTTACACCATTGTTCCCACACCTTATAAAATATTGAAGCCTCTTTAATCTTTTACACTACGCTTTTCAAAGGTTAGAAGATGAATGTGTAAGAAATAGCTAAATACAGTTTGACTTTACTGTGTTGTATTTCCTAATATAGGAATGCCATCTGTCTGACACGAGAAGGTGTGCGCCAATTCCAAGAGTTGGAACCCTTTTCCAACAGCCCAGGAACAAAGGATGATGAGAAAAACGTTATCTTGAATGTATTGAGAACATTATATCTTGGTAATCGTCTGATGCTGCTCCAGTTAATTTACTGTTTGGTTGATTCTAGAAGATTCCAGTTATAATGGTAGTGATGATTGTTAGTTTGATGCCTCTTCTCTTTATGTACAAAGTGGATAGGAAAATCTAATTTTTTAAAAAAGATGCATTGAAGTTTGCAGAGCTAAATTGTCCCTCTTTCTCTTTATTGGACCCAGGCATTATTTTTGGAATGCCTCATATCACTTCTCGTTTAAAATATTTACCTTGGAAATTTCCAATACTGAAAGAAAAGAACATTCCTAGACTGATAAATTTTGCACAACCCTTCCGTTCCACACTAGATGCTCCTTTAGAGAAACTATTTTTAATAATAAAAGAGAAGATACACTGCTGAGGGTTGAACTGTGAAGTTCTTGGTGCTCTTAGCTTGATTCTTTGCTTTCGGATATTTCATTACCCAACTAGGTCAGGTTATCAGTGTGTCTTGATGATCTTACCTAGTTGGCTAATGAAATGTCTGCAAGGAAACAAGCATATTCAGAGAACACTAAGAACATCACATTTTATTGCAATAGAGAATGAAAGTTCACTCATAGCAATATAAACCTTTATGTTGTTAGTCATACCTTGAGTTTGGGATTTGATGTATTCAATCCTTGTTTCTGCTGTGCAGATACCAAAATTACAGATGGTGTCCAAGAATCCACAGATGATGGTAACAGTACAGGGAATGAAAAGCAAACTGAGGAAGACCCTCTGCCAGCAGCGTTGGTAAAACAAGAGATGCTGGTGCAATACTTACAGGATGCCTACAACTTTTCTGCAAAAATCACTGAAGCCTTAAGCATGGTCTCTAAGCTCATGTATGAAAGATCAGTATCTGGTAGGTATAATTATGCTTCTCTTCTTTCGTTTATGTTTACCATGTGGTCATGTGCCATAAAGTTTGGGTTAAGTCCTCGTGTCTGGAATAAGATAGGTCCGAAAACTTGGAGCGTTAGTTATTTGGAACATTTCTGAAACGATTTTGGAGAGTTAGAGAGAGCCCTAGATCCACAGCTCATGACACAGGAAAAAATAGTTCCTTGATTCTACTCACCAGAATTTAGTTACCCAATTCACAACCATGTATCTGAGAACCATGGTAGATTAAATAACTGCTAGCCTAACTTTAGATTCATCACTATTTAACATGAGGTTAAGAAGGAAAAACAGCTGAAACCTTGATAGAGTGGCCTGGTGTCTGAATTGAAGCTGCAACAATCAAGTCTTCTCCTTCCTATTCTCTCTTTTCAGTGGCCCAAGAAGCTATTGAGTTCTTTGTTATAGTTTCTCAGTTTGGCGTACCTCAGGCTGTGTTTGGAGTCCGTCGTATGCTCCCCCTGATATGGTCTAAGGAACCTGGAGTCAGAGAAGCCGTGTTGGATGCCTATAGGAGACTCTACCTGAATCAAAATGGTGGCTCTGAAAGGTGTGGCTTTACCCATTCCTCTCAATCGCAGCAGAAAGGCAGGACACAAATTTTATACAGATAGTCCTCGACTTACGATCACAATTGAGCCCAAAATTGCTGTTGCTGACTGAGACATTTGTTAAGTGAGTTTTACCCCGTTTTATGACTTTTCTTGCCACGGTTGTTGAATGAATCACTGCCGTTGTTAAGTTAGTAACATGGTGGTTAAGTAAATTTGACTTCCCCGTTGACTTTGCTTGTCAGGGGGTCGCAAAAGGTGGTCACATGACCGCAGGGCATTGCAACCATCATAAATATGAGTCAGTTAAATTTTGATTGCATGACCATGGGGTTACTGCAATCGTCATCAGTGTAAAAAACGGTCATAAGTCACTTTTTTCTATGCTGTTGTAACTTTGAATAGTCACTAAATAAACTTGTAATTCGAGGACTACCGGCACCAAATCTTAACTACAAAGCTCACTATTCAACATAGTCGAATCTAAGCTTTATCTTGGCTGACTTTCTCATTTGAAATGTGTTGCACAGAAACAGATTATGATCCCACAAAACCAAGGCAGGCAGACCAAATGAAGAATAGCTAATCGGAAGTCTCTTGCATGCCTTACACCTAGGAATGAACCTGGCTACACCCAGCTAATTTTTGGGTAGAATAATGCCATGATGACAGAATTAATAGAATTAACTCTACCTTTTCCTGCTTATTTTCTACACAGGACTCAAGCCCAGAATTTGATCCTCTCTCTCTCTCTTCTAATAGTTGATGCATCATTGGGGACAATTAAGTGCCTTGAAGAAATTGTGAGTGTTCATTCTCTTATATAAAAAGCCATCTAGTTGCATTTGATGGATATTCTTCATTTGAAGAATGAAGATACTCTTCCTTTGAAGAATATTAGAAGCATAATCTCTGCTCCCAAACTACCATCTAAATTTTTATTTTATCACTTTAATCTTTGGATTTTTGCAATGCCTGAGGTACTTAACTCAGACACAGATGTCACTAGGGCCTTTCTAATGTTTTCAGAATTAATTAAATCAGAAAATTGCTATTTTAATTGATGATGGTAAGTTGAATGTTTTAAGGAGACATGAGACTAGAATATAAAATATTATTAGACCGTATTAGTGGTTATTTGGATCAGGATGATAAACTAGAGAAATCTTTATTTGATCTGGGATTTGCATCTGCTGTTCTAGTTTTATTTGTGTTAGAATAAAGATATCATCCCCAATCTCATTTCTACATTCAAATTTTTAAAAAGGAGCAAACATTTGCTTCTCTGGTAAACTCTTGGTATGTTCTTATCGATATAGTCCTGTCCCTTCATCTGCTGAATGGGTGAATTTATCCTACATGAATGAAGCTCTCCATACGCTCTGTGTAAATCTCTACAAAAGTGGGGAAAGTCAAATTTCTGCTCAACCCTACTAATTCTGGTGCAATACCTTTTATGGCCACCTGATTGCTATCTTGAAAAAAAAGAGTAGCAGAGCCTGCAAAGTGCCAGAGATAGCTTTAGGGTTTGAGTTTGGGGGTGGGGGTTGACTCTTATTCTAGCTTTAAAAACTGCCTGGTTTCATTTCCTGACTGACTTTGTCGTTTCTTAGATCTCAGAGTTTGTGCAAAAGGATGAAATAAAACCTATTGTGATTCAACTGCTCTGGGAACAATTTACTGAGAAATTGCAGTGTTCAAAATTGGAACGCCATGCTGCTATTATGCTTCTAGGAATGATGGCACAGTGAGTTGTTAGCTGTTTCTATATGGCTAATATATTTAGAAGATTCAGTATAATAATTGTATTTGTATGCGACGTATTCTAAATAATCTAGCTCCCTGCTTCTTCCTGGGAGGCTTCAAGAAAGTTTTCTTGGTATCTAGTTGATCTCTCCCAGCCCTTCAATTTATGAAGTAGCAGTTTACAATCTGATGATACATATGTGGGTAAGACAAAGTCACAAGGAAATTAGATATTTGTTGAAAAACAAACACATGAGAAAAGGTAAATGTCTCTTAGTAAATAAGATTTTCCCAATTGGGATTATTGTTCTTTTGTAGTGGAATCTTAGCATTCTTCTGTCAAGTACTTATTGAGTTCAGATCCTGGGCAACCTGCCCCTTCCTTCTGAAGCTCAACCTGCCAGTTTTTCTGAAAGCAGGTGGAGGGAGGGCAGGCCCAAAATTAAAGCCCCCTCCCCTCCAAAAATGTGGGAGTGGTGCTTAAGTGCCTATCACAGTTATTTTATTTCAACAGTATGACCTGTTTTAAAAAAGACTCCTTCATCAAGAGCATTCCGTGTTTATTGATCAAACAGTCACGAGTATTTTCCAAAATACATTAGCCCAACAATCAAATGTTGACTGGTACTTGGCTATCCCTTCTTTTTGCTTTTCTTTTTGAAAGAGAAATATTTTCCTCTCCCTTTTGGTTTTTACAATTCCCCAACAAGGATAGTAAATTCTCAATGTTAATTGTTGCATGTGCATTGTATTGTGGCCCTGTGATGAAGTAATTTGTTTTTAGATGTTTTGTTACATTATTATTGCTGCTTTCTCAAGATTTAAAGTTTCAGTGATTTAATCTGTGCTTCATTTGACAACTTTTAGTCCTGGACTGAATGGTTTTGATACCTTCTAATCTTATAACTTGCCTCACCCCCAGCCACAAAGGTCTAGCATCTAGCTTGTTGAACATTTCTTGAGAACTTTATAGAATATTCTTGGCCTAATAAAAATACTGTGCTGGTATAAATGTTACCATTTTTCATGTCAGTTACCTTATCTTGTATTCTTCAGCAACCCAGTGAAATCATTTATTTACATTATCTGTAAATAATTGATGTATAATTCATTATAATTGTGCATAATTCATTATAAGAAACTAGAATTGGTCCATTGTTTCTCTAAGACAACTACTATAGGTTTTTGCTTTGGTCTTTCTTAAGGTCCTTGGAGATTTTTATAATGTTTGGATCTAATCGGGGATTTTTCTGCCCTCAATAGAGGGAAGCCGGAGATTGTGGGAAGTAACCTGGATCTTTTAATCTCTGTGGGATTAGATGAGAGAGTCCAGGAAGATTATCATCTTGCCCAGGAAGTGTGCAATGCTATCTCCAAAATTGCCAAAAGCCAGAAGGTCAGAATGATGAGAATAATATTTTATTTTATTGATTTATTTCATGGACTGATAAAAACTGCCAGTTTTCAACCTGAGAATAACTCCAAGGGCAGAAAACTGTTTAATAGGATTCACTGAAATCTGCCTTGAATACTGCTGTGGCTATAGTTTGTAATCCTATGCTGTAAACACATGGCCAGTTTTATACAAGATTACATTAACTAATTATGTAGTTTTATTGGCTGTTTCAATGTACCATATCAAGGTGAGAATCCAGTTTTCACTATATGCTTATCCTTCTTTGGAGCTATTAAATGTGTTGCAAAACATTAAAATAAATTTCCACATTCAGGGTAAAGAATCCCATAGTACTATAAAGAAAATTTAATGGCCCTAAAAACAGACAAAAGAACAATACTATACTTTCATGTTGGAAGTTTCGAAGCGCTTGGTGAAAGAATCAGAGGAAGCATCACTGTTGCCTGGAGACACCTACTTGGGAATTCCTTTCATGTCCCTTTTAAGTTGCCCACCCAAGTGATACCCATCTATTTGCAGTCGCCTGCTTTTGAACTGCTAGGTCGGCAGGATCTGGAGCATGTGACAGGAGCTCACCTTGTCCTGTGGCAGCAATCGGATCTTGAACACGAGCCTGTTGATGGTCAGCCCAGTGTCCTAGCCTCATGAGCCACTACATTCCTATGACAAAAGAATTAAAGCAAGTTCAGTGTTTGAGTGTGTGAGAGAGAGAGAGAGATGAAGCATCTTTCAATATAAAGGAATTAAAAATGAAGTAAGAAAGTACAAAGTAGTTTTGGTTTCAGTAAAGAAAACCCAAAACATTCTGCTAGATATGACTAATGTTTTGCTCTTTTCTCACAGTCTGACCTTGGGAAAAACACTACTCCCTTCCGACTTCCACAGTCACACTTACTTTTCAAGCGCCTGCATGAGGTCATAACTGTGGGTGAGTTGGTGAAACTGAGAGGAAGGTAGGCATAGCTACAAGTATGCTATTTGGTCTGATTGTAGGCCTTTCCCCCTAGGTTTTACTCATTCAAGTGCACATTGGATTCCCTTTACTGAGAGAGCAGTTGCCCTTATCTACCTGTTGGCAGAAGGACCTGAGGAAATATGTGCTCAGATCTTGCAGTCTTGTAGCCAACAAGCCCTGGAAAAGTTGCAGGAGTTTAGTACAGCAGCTGAGGCAGGTGAGTTAAAGACAGGTGTGTTCTCTGCTTTTGACAAAGTCTGCTTGGAATTACTTGAGGCAGGTGACTTAGAAAGGGCATGGCTAGAGAGGGCAGCAAGAGAAAAGAGGATAAATGTACCATTAAAAAAATGTCTGCTCTCCAGAGTTTGGATCTTCTTCCGATGAAGCAACTGGTGATTCGAACATGATTGATATCATTCTGTTAACACATTTGGTCTCCCTTGCGGGGGATGTGGCCTTGCAGCAGCTTGTACACCTGGAGTTATCTATAAGCAATGAGCTACGCAGGCGCCGTGTCCTTGGGGAAGAACGAGACACAAAGGAACAGGCTGCCAGCACTGTAAAAGTCCAGAATAGCAAGGTGAGGGCTGGAATTCTTCTTGTTTCCATGTCTACTTGACCTTGGTTATTTCAATGGCTCACCATCAGATCATGTTACTCATCTGATTCTTAAATGCTACAGATTTCCATAATTTGGGACAGGGGCCTTTGCTGAGCATATCCCTCTGTAGCAGTTCCCAACTGTGGAGTAGTGGTATAGCAGTAGCACTTAGACTTATATGCCGTTTCAGTGCTTTACAGCCCTCTCCAAGCGGTTTACAGAGTCAGCCTATTGCCCCCAACAATCTGGGTCCATGTTTTACTGACCTCAGAAGGATGGAAGGCTGAATCAACCTTGAGCTTGGTGAGATTCGATCTGCCAAATTGCAGGCAGTCAGCAGAAGTAGCCTGCAGTACTGCATTCTAACCACTGTGCCACCACCTCGGCTTCTTTTTTTCAATGGCATATATTGGGAAAAAAAAAAAAACCCTCACAAGTGCCTTCAGCCTTTTCTTACTCTTAAGACTGCCTTGCTCCATTGAGGGACAGAACAGTGCTAGCTTTCAGTGATTTCTTCCTTCTGCACAGTGTACTGGGAATGACACCACCATGGAGGAGGACTTAGGCTTGGTTGGCGCTTCTGCTGAAGATACAGAAATGGAACTCATCCGTACCATTTGTGAGACAGAGCTCTTGGATGGTAAATATGGAAACTGAGTAGATTCCCCCCCCCTTCTTATTGATGAATTTTGTAATTGTTTTTTGTGGTCTACTGGATAAGAAATCGAACCACCCACATATGCACAAATCCCTAGCTTTCAGTTTGTGCCTTGAACCCAGTGAGGTAACCAGCCTCAGGAGAATATGGAATATTAGATTATACTGAAATAATATTTAAAAATTTCAGAGGCAGAGTGTTATTGAATATTTCTCTCCTGCTGTGCATGTTTGTCAGTGGCTGAAGCATATCCTATCGTGGGCCACTTTAAATGAATTATCTTATTACAATTGTTTCTTTGTGCTTGCCTAAAGTATGTATATATTTTGCATGCCTGAGGATTTTTACTTGTACTCTGTACAAGTTGAATGTTCCCTAGAATGATCGTTTTTTTTTTGCCTTTATAGGAAAACAGCTGCTTTCAGCCTTTGTTCCTCTTGTAGTCAAGATTTGCAACAATCCAGGACTCTATAGTGATCCAGCACTCTCAGCAGCTGCCGCATTGGCCCTGGGAAAATTCTGCATGATCAGGTAGGGTCTATGAGGGATATTTCTTCCAAATCCTTTTTGCTTTATGTACCGCTTTATGTTTCTTCCTGCAGTGGGAAGTCTTCCAACCGATGAACTGAAGTTTACCCACTTTTCATTCCCACGCAGTACAGAATTTTGTGACTCACATTTGCGGCTCTTCTTCACAATGATGGAGAAAGCCACACTCTCCAGTGTACGTGCAAACCTCATCGTTGCAGCTGGAGACCTGGCCATCCGCTTTCCCAACTTGGTGGAACCTTGGACGCCCCACCTCTATGCCAGGTAATTCTTTGGTGGCAAGGTCTCTGGTCTGGAAGGGGTGAAGAAATACGCTAGCCAGCTGGATGTGGTATAAAGACATTTCCAGCAACTGAAGCCTTCAGAAGGTCTGATGATGGCGTACCTCATGATGTCACTTGACTTTGCTTCTTAGGCTGCGGGATCCTTGTCCACATGTCAGACGGACAGCTGCTATGGTGATGACTCACCTGATCCTAAAAGACATGGTGAAGGTGAAGGGGCAAGTGAGTGAGATGGCAGCTCTTCTCATTGACCCCAAAGATGAGATTGTTCATCTGGCTCGGAATTTTTTCACTGAACTCTCTAACAAAGTAAGGAAAGAGGCCTAACGCTAAACTCTCAGAAATACAAAATCTACATTTCTTATTTCTATGCTGCTATATTTCAAATAATGCTTTATAGACTACCTAACTGAAGCACGGTTGCCCTTGAAATGTCCAAGATAGAAGCTTGAGATGCTCTCAATATTATGGAGCAGGCTGTAGCTGTTTGAGACGAGTCAACCAGATAAGCAAAAATACAAAAGGAATTTAATCACAAGAGGATACTATGTCAAATGTGGAAGTTTTATGTTAAATTGAATCACAGTCTTGGTTTAATTTAATTAGTCCTATTTGTTTCAGCAAATAATTTTAGAGAAATATAAGCCCAGTTTTCACTAAGTGGAAAAAATGTGTGGTTTTACAGCCACATTTGTGCACCTGTTACAAATATACATGTCGTGTCTATATTCCCCATTATTCTGTTCTCTTTTAGCATATGAAGACTGGAAATTCTGGGAGACGCCAAAGTTAAGACACAGGTCTAGGGAGAGCTATGGTTTATTTTATTATTTATTTATTTATTTATTAGATTTGTTTTCCACCCATCTCACTTTGAGGCAACTCTGAATTGCTTACAATAAAAAACCAGTAAAATCATGAAGAATAAATATTTCTAATAACAGTAAAAATTACAATTAAAAACAGTAAAAATTACAATTAAAAACAATGACATTCTCCTAGTCCTCAGACACGTATATTAAATTAGTTAGAGAGCCTCAAACTACATATGTATTATAATGTTTCTCCAGTTATGTATCTATACCTGTGATTTTTAACATCCTTAACATTATTCATAGTTTATTTACTTTTCATCATTTTAACATTGTTAACATTAGTAGCATGCACTACAATCCCACCCTTTAATATACAATTATTCTCCTACAGAACTCTAAAATATTCTCATCATTCCCTCACTTCAGTTTTATCCCAACTAATTTCATTGCTTTTATTTTTAATTGTTTATGCTTTGCTGAAAGCCCTTTAAGGAGTAAACTTATTTTTCATGAAAATAATTCCTTTCAAGACACCCTTTATTTTTTCTTTTAAACTTTTCTCATCTTGTTGGTTGTATTTGCAAATTAAAGCTACAGCCTCTTCCTATTTAGTCAAGCATACATTTTCATACAGTCCATTAATTTTAACTCTACAAATGTCTGTGGTATAAAGTTCTTTTCACAAAATGTACAATAAGCACAGCTGAGTTCACTTTTACCTTAGGCAGCCTCATTCTGTTCTGTGCAAGCTAGGATCTCAACTCGGGACACACCTTCCAATCCAACATCCTGTTGCTTGCCTTTCAGCAGCTACAAAATAGCTTGGAACACTAATCTCCATTCTGAAGAGATGTGTTCAGATTGAAAGAGACTGGTCTGCATTCTTCCACTAGCAAAATAGGGCTGGTACTTGAGTAATTTCAAACATTAGAAAGGGTTTTTTTTTCTTTACTCAGCCCTAGCATGTAGGCAACCTGCTTAATATAAGCACCATTCAATGCTTAAATCCTGACCCTCTCCACCTTGCTGATCTAGAAAAGATTGTAAGTCCCTTTGCTCATAACCAAAGCCTTTAGTGCCAGAAAAACATGAATTAGAACCAAACTGCCATCCAATGTATTTTGATGCACATCTACCAGGAAACCACTCTTAACTGAGTAGAAAACTTCAGTGTAATACACATTTTATTTAAGGGGGTAACAGCATCTTCTTATGATCATAATCATAAAAGAACAAAATGTTCCAAATGAAAACTCTGTTGGCTGACATTGATTGATCTCTCTCAAAATAGCCTTTTCCAGTTTTTTTCTGTAGAAAAAGGCCTCTTTCCCTAAGTTAGAATGGAATCCAGGTATAACTTCAGGATAAATGTGTCTGGCTTGTCTTGATTTTAGCATCTGTATTTTATCCAGTATTATGTCATATAGGTCCATCCCTGTCTCCAAGGCTGGATGGGTTCAAGAGTTTAAGAAGTTCCACTCTTTCTTTGCAATGCAGGATAATGCTGTTTATAACCTGCTCCCTGACATCATCAGCCGCCTTTCAGATGCAGACTCTGGCATAGAGGAACAGCCTTTCCATACCATTATGAGGTAGCCTTTTTTTATTTGAGATTATTTTTTCCTCCTCCACACATCTAAGGCACTGAGCTTCCTAAATGCCTAGAATTACTTGGCATCTAAAATGGGAGACAAAACGGTATGTCAGATTATGGAGTACAAATTTGTTTGGTATTGTCAATGGAGATTCTCAATCATCCAGATCATGTTGTTCAAAAGGTTGTTTTCAAAAGGCAATTGCGCTTTCTTATTTCTTTCCTTGAAAATGTTTCGCTTCTTATTCAAGAAGCTGCTTCTTCTGAAGCCAGTGCACTGAACTGATGAACTTTCTTAGATGAGAAGCAAAACATTTTCGGGGGGGGGGGGGGGGAGAGACACGACAACTTACAAAATCCAATTGCCTTTTGAAAAGCATTTTTGTTTTGATTATATTGAATGCCTGGAATTCTTGAGAAGGAAACAATAACAGAAGCATTATTGCTTTTGGATATTGTTTGTGGATGACCTAGCAATGAATTTCTTGAGCTAACTAAACAAGAAATGAGATCAAGAAATTCCTTAGCTTGCCTCCTGTTTTAAGTAATACTGAGAAGAGCAGAAAGCTGACATGTCAGAAAATCTCATAATCTTGTAATTGCAAACCAAGAGTAAAATAATATTAATACTCAAAACCTTTTTTTTTTTTTTTTTTGTATTCCTTCCTTTTTCTTCCACACTCTGCCCCTCAGGCAACTTTTTTCTTTTATCACTAAGGATAAGCAAACAGAGAGCCTGGTAGAAAAACTTTGTCAACGATTTCGAACTGCTCGGTGAGTAAGGAATTGCTAAAGGAAGGAGCATTCTGTATGAGAAGATCTGTCAATCCTTTTGAACTTGAAATGAGAAGGTTTGGCCTCTGGAATGAGAATCCCAGTAGAACAAATTTAAGAGAGAAGGGTTACATTCTCCTCACAAGTGTAAAATAGTATAGAGTCACAAAAACCCAAAATTAGCCTGCGGCCATCTAGCAGGATGCAAATAGTGTGTCAGCGATTGTAGTTGGACAGTGGCCGTGGCTTCATCTAAACCTTTGTAGGTTTAGAATGAGATCTTACCAGGTGACATTTAAGGAAGGGGACCTGGAACACTCCCACACTATGCAGTCTATTAGACTAGCAGATACCCTTAGGGAGAGGTTGTTTCTCAAATAACCTGGCCCTATACCAGGTGTAAAGCTGATAACCAGCACCTTGGATTTGCACCTGGAAGGCAACTAGGTGCTAATGCAGGTCACACAGCACTGGTGTCCATCCTGAATCCCTCTGGTTTTTGCTACCATTGATCATGGTACCTGGCTGGACTGGCTCCAGGGATTGGAAATGGGAAGCACTTTTTTTGCTGTGGTCCTCCTCCTTTCTCTGTGGTCAGGACACAAAAGAGGTTCCTTATGCTGGGGTGGAGTGGGGGGGACTTCCTGGTGAAATTTCACGCCATGCCACAGGGCTGGGATAGCTGGGGCTTCCAGGGGTAGCTGAGGCTTCTCGCTCTGCTACGGCTATGGGGATTTTGCAACCACCAAATAGCCTCTGAACTGTGATGTGACAAGCAGCCCAGTGTGGTTGTGGGGCTACTTGCTATCCCACAAGGCACAGTACGGGGTAGCTCCAAGAGCAGGGATGATAGGTGGTTTGGGAAGTTAAACAGGAGGAAGTACCTTGCCTTTGAAGAATCAATGCCCAGGACTGGGAGGAACCAAGCCTGGCTGGATCAGAATAAGTCCTCAGCTAAAAACCAGTGAGATTTGGTTAACAAGAGCAACAGTGCCAGGATTACCATTGCTAGTGATGGGGGTTATGTGTCATAGAGCTAAATTTACAATTGCATTGCTTAGTAATGGAAACTCCAGTCCGAATTACCATCATGACATGACTTGGGGCATTCTTCCCCCCGCCCCCACCCCCCCAGCCCTAGTGAAGCAACATAGTAAATGGGGAGGGAGGGCAGGGGCTATATGACAATGCTAGGCTATAGGTAACCTTCATAGATATTGGGACCAGCAATTCTGTCATGTAGTTAAGTTATTAAGCACAACTTCACCAGTTCTGGCTGCAACTGTTAATCGCAACGTCATGTGATTATAATTTATTCCGGGCTTCCCCATTGACTGCTTGTCAGAAGCCAGTTGTAAAGGCTGCAAATGCCAATCACTCATTCATGATTGTCACTGCAATCATCTTATATGTGTGCCAAGTGCCCAAATCACTATCACTTGACTGAACAGTCATTGCAATGGCTGCAACTTTGAAGATCTGTGATATGTCTCCTTTTTCAGCACCATCGTAATTCTACACAGTCAATCAGTAAGCATGAGGACTACCGTGCAATCCTGCTTATAAGGAAGCTATTTATACAATTATTAGAATCTCTACTCCTGCCATTTATGAATGCTATTTTTATGATTTAGAATGACTACTTAAAATGTAATATCAATATAAGCAAATTCGGGCATTTGTTTTCTTAATTTTAAAACCAACCATATTTGCGCTCTGTTCCCTAGCATGGTAAAACAGATGCATGTTTCAAAACCTTGTCCCTAAGCGATTTTGTGAAACCGAAAAGGCAACCAACCAGCCAATAGACCAGGATGTTTTGTAACACTTTTCTTTGTCAAAGTGAATCTGTAATCCAGCTTTGTATTCTTGTGATTTCTACACAGTTCAGCATTCTGGAACATTAGCTGAGCTTCGGGCAGAAAGCCTGTTCTAAAATCAGATCACACTGAAGTGCTCAGTTTTGGTTATGTTTTCATTAGCATTTTTTTATTATTTACTTCTCTACATCAGTGCTTCTATATAGCATAAAATTCTAAACAGTATGTTTTAAAAATGCATTACTTACAGCAATGTTTCCCTTCTTTGAAAAACACATTTGCAGTATTTACTCTGTCTTGCAGAAAGCCACAAAGCGCTCACTCAAGTAAGTGAGCTACACGTTGTTGTTTTTAAGGGCCAGCAAATCTACCTACGTACTTAATTCTGGCTTGTCTAAAATTTAGTCCTTTTAAGTGCAGTTACAACCAGCACCTCAGCTCTCATTCCTGTTTTGTTTTTTTAATTTGGCTACTTCCTCTCTGAAATATTTCTCTTAGCAGTATATGAGCTAGAAACAAAATCTAGGATCTGAGATGGTTCTCTTAATGATGCTCTGTGTCTTTGCTTTGGCTTCTGTGCCAGTGATCAGTTGTGTCCCTCAGAAAGATCAGTTCTCTTTTGCCGCTAGGATACTTTGCTCCCAGCCACATTCTGTAACTCAGTCCATGAATCAGAACTCCGTGAACTCTTTTTCTCCATTTAAATGGTTTTCTTCTACATATCCAAGACTGTGCTTTGTCTGTTTGTTTACTACCTTTTTGTATGTTCTACCCAGAATTCTACTCTGTAGAAGAAACTATTTTACCATCAAGACAATTGGCAAATTATTACTTCAAATGAGTGGATTCAGATTGGGGGTGGGTCCTCATTTTAAGAATTGGCATTCTTCCGTCTTTGAGTGGCATCCAAACTTTTCTTCTGCTCCCCCTGAAGAGGTAATCAAGCTACTGAATGAAGGGATCTGATTTACTGTTGCTAGGCAATAAACTCAGTCAACGTTCACTATTCTCTTAGTACTTTATAGTACCCAAGAAATATAGCAATCTGTTTCTCATTCTACATCCTTGCAATTTTATCCTATTGCAATATGTCTTTGGTCTAATTTTATCCATTTTGGGTATGCATACATAGTATAATCTTATTCGTTATTGTTATTGCTATCTTTTATTTTACCTGATTGTTTATTGACCAGTCTTAAATGGCCGGGTTAATCTAGAGATAAGTTAAATAAATAGGTTTGCCACACACACATCCAGAAATTCCAAATGGGGTCAACTTCAAGCATCTTTTCTCTTCAAGTAGGAGACTGGTTTGCCACACAGGACTTAAAAGATGCTTATTTTAAATAGAACCATCAAGCATGCATCACATATTATTTTGCTTTGAATCAGATTGACTCATGGCTATACTAATATTGAATGCTAGTCTTCAAACTTGCAACTGCCCAAAGATGATCCATCAAATGTGTAAATTTCTAATCACTCGTTTCTAATCAGGTGTGTGCCCCACATGGGTGACTAGATTTTTGTTAGAAAAAAAAGATATCTCATATGATCTCTGTTTTCTATTTCTGTATAATTATTACAAGTGCTGTCGTATATGGAGATAATTTGAATTCTTTTTTTTTATATAAAGTTTTATTTGGGTTTTCACACACAAAATACAAGTAAAACATCTTTTTTGAAAATAGCATGGTCCCGGGTTGAACTTCTTTATACAGACACAAACTCAATTTCATGCTCCTTTTTGTGTTCTATTCCATATCTTTTACTATTCTACATTTTCTATATAGTTTCTCCCCTCTTTTAATTTTCTCAATTTTATTTTGATTATCTCATCTCAATTCAAATCATTATATTTATACTTTTGTCTGTTCTGTTTCAATTTCATATTATCTTTTCTCATTAAACAGATTTTCTCCTGTAGTTACAAATTGGACTATGACACCTTTATATCTTTTAATTACATCCATTCAACTCTTATTTAAACTTCAATATATACCTTAAGGTTGTGACTTTCAATATAATACATAATACATAACTTCCAATCGAATTCTGCTTGGTACATTCTTATAATACTATATTCTTTTAAAAATTAAAAAAATTAAAAGGATTATAAATATATGTAATTATAAACCCTCATTCCATTCCAATTCAGTTCTATCATTAATAATCATTAAAATATTAACATCTTTAACACTTCTTTTCAATTAAATATCATACTTCCTTAAAGACACATATAATCTCCATAATTAATTTTTCCCTTATTTCTCTTCACATATGTTTTGTAAATCATTAAATATTCATTTTGTTACATTTATTTATTGACAAGCATTCCACTGAATTATGATAGCTATTTTATCAAACATTTTAATCATACATTGTTTCATATTTTCTAAAATTATTTCTGTTTCTAATATAACAATACTATCTTATGTACCTTTGCAGAATCCCTTTTTCCATTAAATTTTCACCTATTATCTCTAAATAGGCCCTGTTTCTCTATATTTTGTTTCTGTCCTTTATAACTTCTTTTCCTTTCTTTCTTCCCTCTCTTCTCCCTCCCCTTTTTACCCGTTTGTCTCTCTACTTCTAATTCTCTCTTCTGCATTTCTCTCTTCTGTTGCTTTCTGATTTTATACTTATTTTTCACTCTATTTTGGGGGGGAGGGGGGGTGTTTTTCCCAATCTTAAACTTTCCATTCTCTTTCCCCACTTTCCTTTTTTTCCCCCACCTAAGATTCATTAAAGATGGCTTCTTCTTTGTCATAATCTTCTTGTTCTGCAGGCATTTCTTGTTGTTTCTCATCATTCCAAATCTCCATTTCTAAAAACTGAAATACGAAGCCAAAAGAACCTCTCCCTTGTGCATCTTCTTTGTACTTTTTAAGTTCCATTTTCAGTTTTTCTAAAAGTGGAGCCATTTAAACAGTTTTTAAACAACCACCCGATTGATTTTAGTCATTCAAATACAATAACCAAAAATCCAGAAATCAGCAAGTAATCCAAATAGTCCCAAGTTATATCTCCTTATTTCTTTTTCCACTTTCTCTTCCTGGGGTTTTTGTTGCGATATTTCAGTTAGAATGTATCTTTTGGGAGTCTTGTTGAGTGTTTGCTGTTAGTTCTTTTTAATTCCAGGCAGTCTCCTCCCTTCCAGATCCTGCCCTTTTATTCTTTTTCTCTCCTTTCCTGTTTTCAAAAACTTTTGATTATCCAGAAATCTTTATTATCCCTTTGACTTTTTATTTTCAGCATTAAATGCCTATTAATGTCAAAGTGGATTTTTTTCCAATTTCTTGCTTAAGTCTCTTAGCTGTCAGTAAAGGAAAAGGAGAAAAAAAAAACCAAATCTTTCCCCTTTTCTCTCTCCTTCGCAGCTTAAAAATCTTCTTAGGGAACAATGTTTTTTTTTTTAATAGTTCGATTCCAGGGTACCTTATTTGTTGCTTTTGCTGTTTGACCTAGTCAACCAAAACTTTCTCTTCTTATCTTCCTCCTGCACATTCTTTTCCAGTCGAGTTCTTCTTTGTGGTGGCCATATCTGACCATCGTTACAACTGCCTTCGGGAAAGGGAGTAATGGCCAGCTGGGGAGGAGAGATGCGGCTCTCTTCAACCCTGCAGGCAGTTTTCCCCCTCTTCACCACCTCTACGGGGTGGCTTAGCCCCGAAACCAGCCGGCTCGGGGCACTCCAGCAGCAAGCACAGATCTAAGCCTTGCAGAGATGAGGTTTTGGTCTGTCGCCAAAGAAGCTCAAACCAGAAGTCCAATTCTTTAACTCACAACATACAACTATATCGTAAAACAGGGGTCTTCAAATTTGACAGCTTTAAGACTTGTGGACTTCAACTCCCAGAATTCCTCCTCCAGTCATGTTAGCTCAGGAATTCTGGGAGTTGAAGTCCACAAGTCTTAAACTTGCCAAGTTTGAAGACCTTTGTTGTAAAAGGTTAAAGTCTAAGAGGAATGGTCAAAATCATCACTGGGTTCTAGCATAGTATGGTTTTGGCTTCCATTACGTTTGCCTTTGAGTGCAGATGTTAGAAGCCTTTGTTTGCCTTCAACCAAATGTTGCCTCTCATTTTCATCAAATTTTTTACTTCTTTTTTGTGGTGTGTGGGGGAGGGAACAAAAGGGGGGACTTAGAAGGGACTAGATTTTCCAGAATCTAATCATAAATAATTCCAGAAGTTTGAATGTGAGCTCCTTAGAAAATTTGATTATACATGTATGTCTGGTGATTCTTGAATGTCCACATTTTCTTGCACGTGCTCTTGAATGGTTGTAAAGGTGATGCCATACGATAGTAAAAATATATGTGCACATATCCACATGTACACACACAAGCATAAGGGAGGTAAACGCATTTGAAAATCCTTCAATAATCACAATTAATCCTTGCTTTACTGTAGCAGATTAAAAAATTATAGGTCTCGGAGATTTATTGGGCTGTTGATGCTACCTTAATGCCTTTAAATATTCTTGCTTAACAAGAATAATAATTATGCCAGTACTATTTCCAGGAGACTAAATATATTATTAGTGGCATTTAGATGCCTGGCCCAGAGGAAACGAAAGTTTGGATGTTCAATTTTTTACACCAGCCCTATGAACTTGCTCTGCATATCACATGTACATCGAATCCATGATAAATAGGAAGAATGTAACAGGTCATTCATGCTGACAATCACACAATTCAAACAACCTTTCCTTGTGGCAAATTCTTCTTTCTTATACGGCAGCATTTTAGTGGTTTAGGAATTAAAGGAGTCAGACCTGGGCCTTTGAGAGACAAATCAAATCCTAAAAGGCCTGCTAGAGAATGTTCTAGAAGGTTAATTTGCACAGGTGGAACCTCCCGTGTGTGTGTATACATAGAGAAACACGCTTCAATACCCACTATTCAACAGCTTGTTCTCTTGAATAAATTAAGCCTGAATCACCTTGGTTTCAAGATACACTCTGAGGTCTGTTTTAGTTCTGGGCTAGTTGTTGTAAAGCTCAATAAGTCTCTTCATGTCAACTTGCAGGCCAGAGAGAAAAAGTGCATAGGCAGAATAAGTTTCCGTCAATCCAGAATAGAATAGGACACCACCTCCCTTGTTAGTTCGAAGCTTGGAACTGGAAATTTCTTGAGCCTCATAGGGCAATTCAGAAAAGAAGTAGTGATCAGAGATCTCCCTTGTCATCTTGGCAACCATTCTGTTTTCTTTGCCATCTAATCTTTGTCAACACTTTGAATTCCAGTAGTCATGACCAAATATTTTCCAACATCACACCTTCAGTAGTTACCTTCCTCTTTCACTGTCCTTTTTCTTTCCTTCCTCTTAAACAAGCTGTCAGAGTACCATACCTATCTTATTTATGAGGGAAGGAGCAGCTACATTACTTATCTTGTATAAAGGCAGATGATTTATAATTCTGAGGTTCCTTGGTTTTGTTTGGGTGATTTTCAGTGATTTATTTTGAATCTGCAAAGAGGATCATCAATTATAGTGTTAAATATGTAATCCCAGAATCAAGGGCTCAAAACTTGAGTCAAGGATGAAGTGGAAATCAGGATCCAAGTACAACAAACCTGGCTACTTATTCTGTACAGAGAAAATATATTAATTGTGGACTCTAGAATAACATACATCAAATATGAAACAGTTTTCTAGAGGAATTTTAAAAATCCATGACACCTATGACTGTGGCCATTGTATAGGTATCTTCCAATGAATATCTGATTTGGCTATGCAGGAGATAAAATGCTATGCTATATAGGTTCTAGCATTATTCAGCTGGGTTCTTTTCTTAATTAATTTACTTTTGTTGTATTATCACAGCTCAGGACACTTCTTGGGTATTGTGTGTTTTGTCCTTCCTGATATGGGGTCATAGGCATACTTTCTGTTCCAGCTCATTTTAGGAGCAACACTTCTCCCTATTCTTCAGTTTAGTGTGCACTTTGTGTTTGGTTGAGAAATCAGGCCTTGACCACTGAAGCCGCATTATTTTTCTTCCCCTTTTTTAGAACAGAGCGCCAGCACCATGATTTGGCATACTGCCTTACCTTACTTCCTCTCACAGAACGAGGCCTCCGTAAGATGCAAGACAACTTCGACTGCTTTGCTGATAAACTCCAGGACTTGACAGTCTACAACCACTTCCTGGTTGTGTTAGGCCGGGTTCGCAGGGTGTCCACTAAGCCAGAGATGAAGGTGAAGGTCATTTTTTTCCCCAAGCTAGCAAGATAGTATATGTCCTCTTTTGGGGGGTGGGAAGGGGAGATAAATTAAAAATATCTCATTGCTAGATCATGGACGTATAATAATTAATTCTATGATATACAATTTATATTTCTGCTCTGTATGTGATATCATTCCTCAGGCTCTTATTGAAGAATTTGAACAGAAGATCCAGAAGTGCCACAACAAGGGTCTGGATTCCTTCACTGAAGCTCCACAGGAGACCACACACCAAGAAGGCAGTAATAGACCTGTGCTGCAACCAATAAAGAAAGTAGTACCACGTATGTCTGCACTTTATCCTAATGCTTCCTAATTCGCATATTTCAAAAATAATATCTGTAGCAAAAATATTATATTTGACGACTAAGTTAAGCAGTAATTTTCACTATTGACTGAAAATATTTTGTAACATTCCAGAACATGCTCTAATCTGTTATGGGATGAGGAAAAATGGTGCCCAAGTTAATGTTGAAGAAAAGATGTAAGGAAGCTCCACCAAAATATACAGAGAATTCATGAAAATGGCTTTTCAGTTGCTGTAAAGCACTGTCTAGTACAGGGGTCTTCAAACTTGACAGCTTTAAGACTTGTGGACTTCAACCAGAATTCCTCCTCCAGCCATGTTAGCTCAGTAATTCTGGGAGTTGAAGTCCACAAGTCTTAAACTTGCCACGTTTGGACCCTTGGTCTAGCACATCTATCTTCCCATCTAATTTTGCAGATATGCAGAAAAATGTGTAGCTTTCCTATGAAGAAATAAGAGCATAACAGTCTTTCTACATGAAGATGGGAGATTTTACTTCACAATGATTTGATAGGATAATGACTACTGCAAATTGTTACATTTGTCTCTCCAGTGTTATACTTACTATATCGGCTATACTTACTTGTTCTTCCCATGCTGAGGGGACAACAGCTGGTTGAAACACTCCTACTTTTACATTTAATTTTATATTAAACACTTCAAATCATCCGGAAACAGTATTATCTTGCTTCCTTGATAAAGAACACAAAATTTAAGCATGACTCCTGCTGACTCAGGTCTTTGGAACAATATGAGATGTGACTTGCAATGATTTGAATGTTCAGTTATTAAAGAAAAATTAAATGTTTCTTTCCTTTCTTAGGATCCTGTCGGCGACCTCTTCGGGCAGGGAACAGAAAAACTGACTCCGCCTTTATCACTCCTAACCCCCACATTACTCGATCCAAGAGGAAGACTTCCAAACACAAAGTTTCCATTGTTTTCTCCAGTGACGAAGAGAACAGCCTAGATGAAGGTGAAAACATTTTCTGTCTGAATTTAAAATACTGGACTAGTCAAAACGTATTTTGAGCTTATTTTATGGGGAGACCAGAATACAAGTATAATTTTTGTGTTAATTTCATCAACCCTCTTTAAGGTCTGGATTATTTTTTTATGACAGAGAAATTAATAAAATTAATCAATTAATATGAGCTGGTTGAATATGCTGCCTATTGCCATAAGTTTTCTGTCTATGCCAGTTCCCTGAAGGCCATCTAAGATTTCTTGCTTCTTTCAGAGCTTGATGCTGAATTGACAGCGGAGGAGACCCCCAGCAAAACAACTCCTATTTCTCGTTCGTCTCATCGCTCTCGATGATTACCTGCCTTTTTGTTGAGTCTGTTGGTTAATGGGAGCAAGTTTCCCAAAATTTCAGAATGAATTGGATCCCTTTTTTATATTTGATAAAGTTACATGGGAGGGTTATTTTAGATTTCAAGGCTTAGCATTGTGACGATTGCATACTCACATGGTTGATAAATTAAAATGTGCCTTTTGGTAAATATATGCTCTGATTTTTATTACTTTTGTATTTCGACTTAAAGGAGCATGACTGAAATTCCTACATGTACATATTAACTAGGAGATGTTTGAGAACTATAAAAATGTATCTTGATATAATGTAAGCCAGTTTCCATGTATACATTAATTAAAGAGATGCATTAGCATACATAAAGGACAGGGAATCGGAATGTTCTTTTAGGGAGTACAGTAACCAAAATGCTTTTTAAAAAAAAATAAAACCAAGTAATCAAATTGGAAAGCAAAATAGAGCAAAATGCAAGTTACTAAATAAGAAACAAAACTGATATCAACCAATGTAAAATGCAGTGCACAAAAGAGCTTTTTTGAAATAAGAGTTCATGGCAGTTAGTCCATCTTGGCTGGATTCAAATGAAATTGAAGCGATCTATGTAGCCATCATACAGGAATCAGTCAACAAAGCAGTAATGAAAAATAAAAAAACAACACAAATTTAGAACTCTTGGTTTGATTTGAGTAAAAAAAAAGGAGAAGTGTTCTGTCACAAACACAGCACAGATGCATTTGAATAGGAGTGGTGTTCAACCTGTGGAAGAGTTCCAGTTTCCAGATTAAAAGCTCTCTAAACAACCTGCACTGCAGAAGCAAGAAACGGCTATTTGAGTTCTGGGTTGCTTTGCTTACCTAAAACAGGGTTTCCCAACCTTGGCAACTTTAAGATGTTAAAATGATTGGGAAAACCAATTCAAATCAAAACATCAGTTTTGTTGCAATTACTTTAAGATGGTTTTAGCCAGTGGGTTACTAAATTTGAAAATACAGCTAAGCATGTATTTTACTCCATCAAAAAGAAGCAATTTTTTGGCCTGAAAGTGCCAACCATCTGAAATTGATATTCATTTATCTCAAATTATTTCCTAACCATGGGAAATCTATCATTTCTTAAAAGTTATACCTCAGAAGAACCAAAGCAACTAAACCAAAGTAAATCAAAATAACTCAAGGTTAACCGCACCGAACTTGATTGCAGGAAATACAACTTCAGCAACAGAGTGGTCAATAACTGGAATACTCTACCTGACTCCGTGGTTTTTTTCTCCAAACCCCAAAAACTTTAACCTTAGACTGTCTGCTACTGACCTCACCCCTTTCCTAAGAGGTCTGTAGGGGGCGTGCATAAGTGCACCAACATGCTTACCGTCCCTGTCCTATTGTTTATTTTTTTGTATATATTTTTTTCCATGTATTCATAACTATGTTTTTACTTATACCTATTATCTTGTAAGTGCTTGCCTTGGAGAAACAGGAAGAAGGTGTTTCAAGCACTATAAAAGCACTTAGCACCATTCAGCTAACCAAAAACAAAGGAAAAGAAAATCTAGGATGGGAAAGGAGCCTGGATTAGACAGATAGCAGACAAGAGAGGAGGGGGAAACTGCCAAGTTAGTTTCCAACTGTTTTTTCTTCCTCATTTATTTGTACCACAAAATTTCAAGACACCTATTTGTTTTGTTTATTAGATATATTCCACTTTTGCTCACGATTTCAAGGCAGCTTCTTTAGGGATTTCCCTGTACTTTATACAATAACCTGTGAAGTAGTAGACTGAAATGAGAACACCTAATCTGTGAAGGGAGTTAAATTTGCATCTCCCTAAGTCTAACCCTTGTCTAAACTTTACCCACTGTGAACTAAACAATTCTGAGAATAACCTTTAAAAGTTTATACCAGCAAAGCGACATAAAAATACTCTCTGGCTTTGCTGGAATAAAGCTTACCTTTAAAAAAAAACTGCTTTCCCAGGACAGCAACTTGTGTACTTTTATTGCATACTTGAGGTAGAAAGAATGCTAAAGAATCTTTTTTGAGTTTTCAGAATTTGCTGGCAGGATTCTTCCCCAGTCCATGTTAGATGTGACTAACTTGATACCAACAATTGGAGTAATTGAATAATGAAATCAGTCTACAATCTCAACTTGGGGACTTTTAGTTTTTTAATAACGCTATACAAACATACAACCAATAGGGAAATAAAGATAAATGTGATTGCATAGTGAAGGTGGAGGGAAACTAGACATTATTGTGGTGATTACTAAATGTGACCCCCCCACACACACCCCCCAAAAAAGCTTATTAACAAAAAATCAGGTGGTAAACAATCCGGCCCTTTGAAACATCTTGCCCCCTGAGGAGACACTGGCTTCTCCTGACCTTCCTCAAGGAGCCTGAAGATCCAGCAGTGCCAGCTGGCTTGAGGCTCCGATGTGGGAAGCACCACGCTGGGCTTGGTTGATACCCTAATAGTAACTCTTACCTACCTCCCTACCTCCCTCCGTACATTCTGCTCCTTTCCTCCCCATCTTTTAGTTTTAGTTATAATTTGTATGTTTGTTGTGATATATGTATGTATGTATAGTTTTATTTTAATGCTGTAAGACACCTAGAGTCACCTTGTAGCATAATGGGCAGCAAACAAATTTAATAAATAATCAAAAGAAATAAAAAGCTCTATAATTTAACCCATAAGCTTATCAGTGGTGAGGCTGACTTTAAATTACATTAAAGAGGCTCAGAATCTCTCTCTCACACACACACACATTTGATTTGATATTGATATAGGTACACAAATGTTAAACTGCAACTTGTTATAAGAACTAAATTGCAACATATTTACATGTGGCTTATTTATTTCTAATTTTCTGGATATTAATTTTATTATTCCATTCTATTTTGTATTTTCCTCACATCAAGCATTCTCAAAGTGTGTGTTTTTTCCTAAGAAAACATGAGCAAATCTGAAGGGGTTCTGCATGTAAATGAAGATCAAAGCCACAACTTGGCTTTTCCTTCTGCTTGTGCAAACTGGTTATCAGCCTCTCCAAGCCATCAAGGAGGAAAGCCCAAAGCAAGGCTTCAGCTTGTAGCTGCAAGTCCTAATGGCTAATGCGCCCAAAGCCAGCATCCCATCAGAACGGGTCCCTGTCTGCCTGGACAAAGCCAAGATTTCCGACAGTTGCCCTTCTAAATAGCAAATATCAATTATTTTTAAAAAGATGGAATGAAAAATTAGAACAGCTATCTCAAAAGTATAACTTGAAGCTGACTGAGGAATTCTGGGAGTTGAAATCCACAAGTCTTAAAGCTGCTAGGGTTGGAGAGCCCTGATCTAGTCTATTTTTAAAAATCTCTAGTTAATGGAGCACCCACAACCTTGAAAGATTGATTAATTTATCTCAGAAAATTTCTGTCAGAAAGCAATGATTTTAAATTGATTGATTTGATATAATTGAAGCAATGATAGAATCTCTCAACCTTTTAAATCAAACATTTTATCTAGAAATAAGCAATAAGGATGGTAAAATTTAATTATTAAAAGTAAGTCTGGTTTATTTTTTGCCCAACTTCAAAATCAACATCATTTTTATTTATGGAAGTCGCACACATTCAGTTATCATTTTAGTCCATCCTACCCACAAACTTTAAATTATTTTAATGGTAAGTGCTATTAGATTTGACATGCTGCAGATGGCAGCAAAATCATATCTTAGTATCTCAAAATTACAAATTCACATTCCTACTGTTGCCAAAGAACTAATGACTGAAGACATTAAGGAATTGATGCTGACACAAATTGTTGTAGCTGCCAGTTATCTTTGGGGTCCCAAAGAAGCATCTGTAGCATTATAAAAGTAGGAATACCATTGTTTTTAGTAGGCTTACAAGCAACAGTTTACAATAAGATATAGCTGGCTTCAATTCTGCTCACTTTAAGAACATAGGATCATAGGTTTGGAAGAAACATTGGAGGTCTTCTAGTCCAGGGGTTCCCAACCCCTGGTCCGTCGACTAGTACTGGGCCATGGCATGCTAGAAACCAGGCAGGGCAAAAAAGCAAAGCCCCGTCCATGGGATGCAGGCAGCACACAAAACCACACCCCTCCAGTCCGTGGAAAATCTCCATAGAACCAGTTCCTGGTGCTCCAAAAGGTTGGGGGCTGTAGTCCTAATCCAATCCCCTTTTACCATCCCAGTCAAACGGTTGTCTAGTCCAGGGTCTCCAACCTTGGCAACTTTAAGACTTGTGGACTTCAACTCCCTGAGGAATTCTGGGAGTTGAAGTCCACAAGTCTTAAAGTTGCTAAGGTTGGAGAGCCCTGATCTAGTCTATTTTTAAAAATCTCTAGTAATGGAGCACCCACAACCATGAAAGATTGATTAATTTATCTCATCATTAGAAAATTTCTGTCAGAAAATTTCTCCTTAAAATTTCTCCTCTTTAACAAGCCTCCACCCATTATTTCTTGTCCTGCCCTCTGGTGCTTTGGAGAATAAGTCAAACCCCTCTTCTCTGTGATGGTACTGGAAGACAGTGATCATGTCCTCCCCAATCCTTCTCTCCAATACACTAGTCATACCTAGCTCTCTCAGCCATACATCATTCAATTAAATCACCAGACCCTTTATCATCTTTGTTGCTCTTCTCTGCAAACTTTCCAGGGTCTCAATATTTGCTAAACTGGGATGTCTCCCTCAATTAATAGGGTATTTTTGGACAAGTCGAAGCAACACATTCCTTTAAATGCCTCACATCCATGGTTGTCCCTTAAGAGCAGATAGTCCACGGCAGCCCTATTTTCCAATGTGGCTGCATAAACTTGTCTGAGTTCATGATTCGGGCCAGCCAGCCAGGGCTTGTGAGATGGCATTCAGGCTCTTGGCAGTGGTTCAAACCAGGCTCCTAACATTGTGAGTGTTGCAAGCGGCTAATCTTATGACACTTACCAGGGAGATGGCAAGGGAGACATATTCTGCTTTGTTTAGTAGAATGGTGTGGGAGTCACAGTCGAGAGCTAGAGGTTGGAGGTCCCTTTTCTTCTGGTTTTGGATGTTATTTCGTCTTTCTTGTAGGCAAATTTAGTCTCTCCAGTGGATTCAGGAAACCTTCATGAGATTCTAGGTTCAGTGCACCATCATTCAGATATTCTTCCAATGTTATTTTTTCTTCCACTATGTGGTATAC